TCAAACTAAACGATGTCATCGAGGCTGTATGATTAAACTTTATATGTGGAAAGTATAGACGAACTTGCTTAACCTTGACATACTTCAGCTAATGGGAAGACTTTTATTTCGTATTCAAGCATATGAAGAAGAGATTCGTAGGTTGATCTCGCCAGAAGACGACGGCTGATTCCTGTTGCACTGCATCTGTTTGGCTTTAATACGAAGTTCAGGGTAATGCAGTCCACGATAAATCCTCTCTCGTTCTGGGCGAAAATGGGCTAAGCTTTCGTCCATTATATGGTGGACATTATTAGAGCTGGAATTCATTTTTTCAAAAGTCTCAAGTTAACACCAGATCAAGAAGACCGTCCGACTCTATTTTACGCCTTATATGTGCTTATAATTAAAAACACATAATTATAGACTCTTATAGAAAGATAGAAATTGAATTATTTTGTTGTTTTTCTCTCATCTTGGTCATAGTACTTTTATTTGAGTAAGTATGGTGTGCGTGTGTTAACGTCTATGCGCAATACCGGTCCAAAATCAATTATTCAATAACCTAATGTCGGGCTTGGGTCGTCAAAACTGAATAACCCAAGAAAAACTACGGCTATAAATATTCGTTTTTAGTTAAGAATGTATATAATATTTAACATAGAGCCGAATAGTGTTCTTGACCTAATGTTACTTTGACACTTTTACAAGAACGGGTTTCAGCTCTGATCATGTCCGTCATATGATGGACGAAGGCTTAATCCGTTTTTACCCGAAACGAGGGAAGATGACTCGTGTACTATGTCAGCCTAAGCAACGTATTAAGGCCAGACGGCTTCAGTACAATGCGAAGTAGCTATCGTCTCCCGGTGAGATCGACTTACCAAACTCTTCCCTTGTATGCTTTAATAGTAAGTGAAAGTCTCTCCAACAATGTTATCTTAAGAGATGCTTCAAAACTCAGTTGTCTGACCTTGTTTTCGCAACTTGATCATGCATGCATGATCATTTCCAAAGTCGGACCGTGGACGTGGTACATTCCCAGACATTTCGCCGGCATCGTAGTCGGCATTGTCATTGAATCTTGCCATTCTTAGCACTACACAACAACTCGTCAAAGAGACAAGTGAAACCGATACTTTGACTAAGGGTGTGTCAAACAGTTGTGGTATTTCTCCTTCTGCCCTGGGCTATTCACATTTTCTATATCCTCGTATCACGCCGTCACTGTTACCGTTCTTATTTCGATGTCGTGTGGTGTGCTTCTTTGAGTGGCATTCAGGAAAACCTTTCACACTTCACGCTGTCGTTCTCACCCCCTTCACCCTTGTGCTGGGAATGTTGATCAGACTCTGCCATATTGTTACGCAGTCCTCCTTCCCTAGGTCTTATCACAGTCTCTCTCTTGCCCCGTCAGATCCGTCTGCTATCTCCCTGGTTCAATTAATTTACTCGACCCCTACCATCTCATCTATGCTGCTCGAGGCGTTATTACCCCTCTCTTGTGTCTGGGTGACTAATTTGAGGCTAAAGCCTCTGAATAAGTCTCATCTTCAAGTCTTTGCTACATGGACACGTCTATGGTAAAACAGACTTACGGTCAGCCAACTAGCTCCAGTCTCCGCCACGTCTATCCTGTTTCTATCTCTAATACCAAAGCTATGACTTATTATACCCTAGTATCTCGTGTGCCAACCCACAAATATTGTGGTACTGCTTGCTTTGATTAGGCTCACTGAAGACGTCTCCTCTTTGTCTCTAATTGTTCCTTTCTCGTCCCCCTGCGATCTCTTTTCCTAAAATTACGGATATTACTTTGATCCAGTCGTCTTCTTTTTGCTGATCTTACTGTTGTCTGATCTTCTCCGAGTTTGTTTAGGCAATATGCACAAAATTAGCTAATCATGCCTTCTTCAAGTCTCCTGTTCATTAGCTTTCTCTCGGTGAGTATATCGATGGCTTCTCTGATCTTGCGTTTGCTCGTATTTTCACCACATTCAGCCAACCTTTCGGTCGATTTCCAGTCGATTTCGTGCCCCGTTTTTGCAATTTGTTCCACTATTTCGGATTTTATCGTATCCATGTTCCTGTAGAGTCTTTGATGTTCCTTGATTCGTATGCAGATTTTTTTACCTGTTTCACCGATATACTTCTGCTCACAGTTGCCGCATTTGATGCAATAAACTCCCGATTAATCAAGTTTGTCAGTTTTCTCGTGTTGCGTCGGCAGACTGGTTAAAAGTGTTTTCTTCTCCATTGTTATCGCCTTGATATTCCATTTCCTCAGTAAAGGTCGCAATTGATGGCTTAGTTCTGATGAGGGGAGGGAAATCCACTCCTGGTTTTCCTCCTGATTCCTGATCGGATTTTCATTAGATCCGAGTTGGAATCTGCCCTTTATAACCTCTACATTTTTTTCTATAAATTCTATGGGATACCCGTTACTAAGGCAAGTCTGTGTCAGTCTGTCCAACTCCTCGTCCCAGAACTCACTGTCATTAGTCGTAAACTTCTGATGATCAAACTCATCACTATTCCTATCTTCCGTCTATAGTTATGGTGAGACTGAAAATTAATTATTATTCCCGCATCTGACTTCTTTTTGTATAGTCTCCTCATGAGTGTTCCGTTGGAGCGCATGATTTCAATGTATAGAGAGGGTAGTTTTTCATCCTTCTCTACCTCCATAGTGAATTTAATTCTTTCATTAAGTCGGTTAATGAAATTAAAAAATTCATTTAAATTTTTTTTACCATGTGATAAAAGCGCGAAGTCTTCATCCAAGTATCGCATAAGCAATGATTACTTCTCGAACTCCCTTTCCAACTTGTCCAGGTACAAATTTGCCAAAAGAGATGGGACTAGATATCCCATCGGTAGCCCAAATATTTGCTCGTAGATACTACCGTTAAATGTAAAATATGTGGTCCTTACTGTCAAGTTGATCAGTCGTGTTAACTATTCCTTCCGTATCCGTTCTGCCTCCAGGATGTCCTCTTCTCACTCCAATATCTCCAGCAAGGCGCTCACCGCCTTTTCACCTGAGATGTTGTGGTTCAACATTGAGCATAATCGATGCAAGCAGTACCACAACATTTGTGGGTTGGCACACGAGATACTAAGGCATAGCAAGTCATAGCCTTGGTATTAGGGTTAGAAACCGGATAGACGTAGCGGAGACTGGAGCTAGTTGGCTGACCGTAAGTCCGTTTTACCATAGACGTGTCCATGTAGCAAAGGCTTGACGATGAGACTTATTCAGAGGCTTTAGCCTCGAATTAGCCACCCAGACACAGGGGAGAGGTAATAACGTCTCGAGAAGCACAGATGGGGTGGCAGGGGTCGAGTAAAATACTTGAATCAGGGAGATAGCAAAAGGATCTTACATGGCAAGAGAGAGACTGTAATAAGACCTTGGGAAGGAGGAAGACGTAACAATATGGCAGACTCTGATCAACATTCCCAGCACAAGGGTGAAGGGGGTGAGAAAAACAGAGTGGAGTGTGAAGGGTTTTCCTGAATGTCGCTCAAAGGAGCACACCACACTACATGGAAATAATCAGGGTAAAAATTGTAATAGTAAAGGTATGATAGGAGGATATAGGAAATGTGAATAGCCCAGGGCAGAAGGAGAGATACCACAACCGTTTAGCACACCCTTGGTCAAAGGATCGGTTTCACTTGTCTCTTTGACGAGTCGTTGTGTGGTGCTAAAAATGGCGAGACTCACTGACGATGCCGACTACGATGCCGGCGAAACGTGTAGGAATGTATCACGTCCACGGTTCAACTTTGAAAATGCTCATGCAGACAATGGACTCCGGACAATGTCGTTCCTCTAAGTCTTCCTACCAATATGATCGAGTTGCGAAAACAAGGTCAAACAACCTCTATACAACGAAAGAAGACTGCGACCACACAAAAGGCCACACCATCTTGGTCTTCACACCTTAGATTATGCTATATTATTATTTTCCGTTTATAACTAGGTTCATATATATATGCAATATTATTTCTTTATTATTTTTAAAGCTCGTCATTTTTGGATAAATATACAATAAGTTCATACCTAATTGAATAGAGTCACCTGAGGATACCAAATCCCGTAACAGCAAGTAAATAAGCAAGTTTAAACAATAAATACTTTCATTTCGTATAAAAGTGCATGAAGAAGAGTTTCGTAGGTTGATCTCACCAGAACAGGACGGATGAATCTCGTTGTACTGCAACCGTTTGGCTTTTATACGACGTTCAGATTGACGCAGTCCACGAGACTTCCTCCTTCGATTCGGGTGAAAACGGGCTGACCTTTTGTCCATCATATGATGAACATCATCAGATCTGGGTCTCATTTCTGTAGAAGTCTCACGTTAACACCAGGTCAAGAAGACTATCCGGCTCTATCCTACCTCTTATATAGACTCAATTAAGCAAAAGAAAATAAAAAACCTAGATAGATACAGTGGGTTGGCTAATTATCTTTCATACTGATCCTGCTACTTTTGCTCGAATGTGTGTGCGTGTGTGTGTGTGTGTGCATTTGTGTGTTAGCATCTATACGCAATACCGGTCCTAAATCAGAATTATCAAAAGGTTAATGTCAGGCTCTGATCATCAAGGCCCAATGAGCCAAGAGACTGCGTAAGTCCATAAGCAATTTTGGTTGAGATAATGACATATGAGCCGGATAGTCTTCTTACCCTAGTACTAACGTGAGACTTTAACTGGAATGAGAACAAGCTCTGATGATATCCATTAGTTGATGGACGAAAGGTCAGCCTATTTTCACCCGAAACGAGGGAGGAAGTCTTGTGGACTGCGTCAACCTGAACTTCGTATAAAAGCCAAACGGCTGCAGTACAACGAGATTCATCTGGCCTCTTCTGGTGAGATCGACCTATGAATCTCTTCTTCATGCGCTTTCATACGAAGTGAAAGTACCCCCAACAATGTTTTCTCAGGAGATTCATCGAAACCCAGTTTCTCTTCGTATCTACAATAAATACATTTTCACCATTCAGTCATGAGACAGAGAAGAAACGACTTGCCTCTATCTCGTTGAGTAGGGAGGTGCGCTCCGTCAAATGGGCTCTAGCTTGGCGCAACACTTCACGTTCTTTCTGTTGGGCCTTTGCCTCCTCATCAAGACGTGTGCGAATAGACTCCAGTTCGACTCGGTCGCGCACCAAAATCGCTTCCTCATGAGCACGGATCCTAGACATCGTTGGGAAAGCATACGGTAAAAGGAAATGGGCGAATACAAGTAAAAGATTCGTACCTGTATTTTATCCAAGTAAAAGAAAGCACTTCATTATATATGCAGTGGTAGTCTCGAAAACATACTTG